AGCCACACAAAACCGCACACACACACACACACACACACACACACACACACACACACACACACACACACACACACACACACACACACACACAACCAACACCAACGACAACCGCCCGTGTGCATGTGTGCACGCACTTTGCTGTCCATCTTCTTCTTGATGTTTCGCGCGAGCTGGAAGAAGGCCTCCTCCACGTTGATGTTCGCCTTTGCACTCGTCTCCAGGAATGGGATGCCGTAATCGCTCGCAAGCTGCAAGCCAAAGGGGAGGGGAGTGTGAGAAGTGTTTCGTCGTGTTGTTGGTCGGGAGCGGCAACACACAGTGTCGATTCATTGGTACACACAGCACGTCATCTGCGATGCATACACAACCACACAAACGAGCAAGCAAGCAAGCAAACAAACAAACAAGCAGTCACACACACACGCACACACACACCTTCTCGCCCTGCTCCTTTGAGACTGCGCGGCTTTCCTCCATGTCGCACTTGTTGCCAAGCAGCATTAGCTCAACATCCTCCGATGCATTCTCCTCAATGTTCTTGATCCAGTTCTTCACGTTGTCAAACGACTTTGGGTTCGTAATGTCATACACAATCATGATGCCCTGCAAGCGTGTCCACGCGCCCATGTGAGTGAGTGAGGGAATGTGTGTGTGTGTGTGTGAGTGTGTGTGTGTGAGTGTGCGAGTGTGTGAATGTGAGTGTGTGTGTGCACGGGGCAGGAGGGATGGTTATGCACGCACAAGGTCAACAACAACAACAACAACAACAACAACAACAACAACAACAACAACAACAACAACAACAACAACAACAACAACAACAACAACAACAACAACAACATCATCATCATCTCCACCTCGACCAAAGCAAATGCCATCAGTGGGTAACGCACCATTGCGCCGCGGTAGTATGCGGTTGTGATTGTGCGGAACCGCTCTTGCCCTGCAGTATCCCTGCACATCACGCAACGCAGCATTGGAAAAGCAGGCAATCCTCGCATGAGATATGCACGGTCTGATCATACAGTGTTGGTGACACGGTGATGGCGACGCTTGCGAATGGTTGACGCATGTTCGCATACACACGCACCAGATCTGCAGCTTGATCTTCTTGTCGTCGAGCTCAATCGTGCGGATCTTGAAGTCGATACCTGCATGCATGTACAGGCGTACAATGTACCCACCCACAAACATTAGGCACGCAAGCGCAGACACGCACACACACACACACACACACAAGTACACACGCCAGCGTAGACATGGACAAGCACACACACACGCACGCACACATACACACACACACACACACCGATGGTTGAGATGAAGGAGGCGTTGAACGCGTCGTCTGAGAAGCGGAAGAGGACGCAGGTCTTTCCGACACCGCTCTCGCCAATGAGGAGCAGCTTGAAGAGATAATCGTACGCCTTAGTGCCCATGGTGGCGGGTGCTGTCTGACGCGGTGTTGTGCTGAGATGGGCTGGTGAGGCCTTGCCTGAGCGTGAAACCCCATCACGGAGCACACGAGACAGCGAGGGTGGCATGTCGCGTTTGATGCGATTGAAAAAGGCGGCACAATCGATCACCAAACAAGCATAGCAAAACAAAAGCACAGAATGTCAGCGACGTCAGGCATGGATGCACACGCGGGCATTCACGTGCGTGCGTGTGTGTATGTGTGTGTGTGTGTGTGTGAATAACGGGGGAGAGTGGGGTGATAAAAGATGTACAGACAAAAGTGTATGGTTGAAGGCAAGCCCACAGCGCAACATGGGAAGCAAAACACAGTCAAGACAAAACTGCTGCGTTGGCACTTGCTGCCATGTCCACCCATCTACACACACACACACACACACACACGGCACAAGTGACGCAGCACAGTCACCTCTCATGAAACACGCACACACACGCACACATACACGATACGCACCTGGGTGATTGTTCGTTGTTGTTGTTGTTGGTTTGTTTGGGTTTATGTGGCGTGGTTGCTTGCAGGTGAGCGGAAAACGAGCGTCTGAGACGATGCGATGACGATGCGTTTGAGATCTCTGTGGTTGGAGGGAGGAAGGAAGCGGGTGCGATGGCCGCCGTGAGATTGGACACAACCAAACCGAAACCAAAAAGAAGAAACAAGGTGTGGGGCTGGCTGCTGGGAGGTGTTGGTGATGATGAGTCTGGCTGCTGGGTGGCGTGAGAAAGCGCCTACAGAAGAAGCAAAGGAAGCAAAGAAGCCAACGCAGCAAAACAACAAACCTCGCACAACGAAATGATGATGTGATGACGCAATTTATGCTGTCGCAATGCGGTGGCGGTGCCGGCTGTTGTGTGTCTGTTCTTGTGGTGGGTTCTTCCCGACTGTACTTCCTCCCTCCTCGTTTGCATGTATGCTTTCGCTTCCAACTCTCTCCAGCCAGTCGCCAGCCCGCACCCTCTCCTCTCACGTGCTCGCTGGTACGCTGCGCAGGCCTCCTTTCGTTATGTAATGTGGCGATGAAACACAAACACACACGTCAAACACACCCACCCACTCATTCACACACACGCACACACACACGCACTCATACACACACGCACAGACAAAGTGCACGCAATTCATCGCGACAAGGCATGATGTCGAGTGCAGCACAAGAAACCACCAGCACACATGAACAACAACAACAACAACAACAACAACAAGAACAAGAACAAGAACAACAACAACAACAACAACAACAACAACAACAACAACAACAACAACAACAACAACAACAACAACAACAACAACAACAACAAGAATAACAACACTAACGGCAGCATCAGCAGCGAGGAGCTCACTCAAGCGCGCCAATAACTCGTTCCCAATTCAAACACACACACACACACACACACGCACACAAAAGTTGCACCTGCGCAAACGGATGGTGCACGCAATGAACACACACACACACAAACACAAACACAAACACACACACACACACAAATACAAACACAGACGCACACACACAGGCGAGTGCACGCAGCAATAGTAGCGTACGTGCATGTCACTACATGTTGGGTGGCTTGACAAGCTCTGCAGGGAAATGCGGCGCGGTTGATGCGTGCGACGGATCTGTGCTGTTCTCCTGCGATGTCTCTTCCACTGGCTCCTCCTCCGGCTCTGGTTCCTGCCACTGGCCGCCCTCTGTGCAACATGCGCGCGCGTGTGAATACCACCGACACAAGAACAAGGAGGAGGTGCAGGAAGAAGACGAGGAAGAAGACGAAGAAGAAGATGATGATGAAGACAGCAAACAACAATGAAGGAACGGTGGTGTGAATAATGTGCTCACGCTTGCACAGCAACGACGCATCATTGTACTTGTGTTGAGCCAAGCACGTCAACACGTATACCACAGACGCGAACACACACACGCACACACACACACACAGACACACAGACACACACACACACACAGAGAAGCATGTACGCACCACGGAAGATGTACTGAAGACGAAGGGGCTCCACAATTTGCGAGTTTGCGTGCGTCACGGCCTGGTCCTTGAACGTCTGGACAAGTCAGCGGCCACACACAAGCAGGCAACGAAGATGAGCAAGGAATGGAACAATCAAACCACTACTTGTTGTTGTGGTGATGGTGGTGTTGGCGCAGACAAAAGGACGTGACAGCAGTTCGAGCAACGTTGTGCGATGTCGTGTGCACAGTATCACAGCATACAACCAAGACCACAGAAGGACGCAGAAAGAGCAATGCAGACGCAGTGGTACGCACACCCCCCCCACACACACACGCACACGCACACGCACACGCGCGCGCGCGCGCGTTCACAGACAGCAAGTCGACCGAACTGAGCGCACTTTGTCGGGGTTAAGCTGTTTGCCTTGATACACGAGCGCCACGTCGTCGGAATCCTTCTCAAACACGCTTGCAATCACATCAATGGCCTTCTGCACCTTGTCACCCTCGTTTGGCTCCAGGAAGATGCTCTTCTTCCCCCTCTTCACCTTCAAGAACAGCGCCATCGCGTGGGTCGGAGCGGTGTGCTTCGTGTGTCTGGCGGTTCAAGTGCGGCTGGTTGCTTCCTGGTTGGTTGATGAGATTGGTTGACAAGCCAACAACACAAAAAGCGGAAGAGGAAGAAGAGGAAGAGAGGCGGAAATGACAGCACACAAACACCAACAACAAGCTGAGCAAGGATGATGAGGAGAGCCACGATTGCTTCTTCCTCGTCTGCGTCGTCGTCTGCGTCGAGTGCCCGCCAGGCCCGCAGTGTACGTGGCACTCAGGGCGCCGGTGACACTGGGGATGGTGGTAGCAGTGTTGGTGGTGGTAATGACAGTGCCGGTGGCATGAGGTCGCGCCGGCTGTTCAGCATTGGTGCTGGCATACGTGCCCGGCTCAGCACCATCTCCACGCCAGCATCGGCCAGGACACGGACACAGCAGCAAGGCAATGCAGCAACTCAGCAACAACAGCAGCAACGCGGCCGCCACCTCACGTTCCAGACAAAGGACGACCGGCGCGTGCGGGTTCCCATCCGCCACGCCATGATGATGCCCACCATCGCCCGCATGTTGACAGGTGTGTGTATGCTTGTGTGTGCGTGTGTGTGTGTATGCTTGTGTGTGTGTGTGTGTGTGTGTGTGCGTGCGTGTGCGTGTGCGTGTGCGTGTGTGTATGCTTGTGTGTGTGTGTGTGTGTGTGTGTGTGTGTGTGTGTGTGTGCCTGCGTGCGTGTGCATGTGTGCATTTGTGGTTGTCCTTCTGGTGAACATGGTTTGACATTGCTGTGCTGTGCTGCCCTGCGTTGTGTGTACGTTGGATTGCTCATGAACCTGTGCTGCGAACAGATCTTGGGGCAGATGACCCCGACATTGAAACGGAGGAGGATGAAGAGCCCATCCCGTTGCCAGCCACTTCATCGGCCGCCTTTGACAAAGTACACTGTTCTGTTGTCCGCACTCTTCCGTTGTCTGCCACTTGCCTCCACGTCAGCGTCTACCATAGCCTCGTCCTGACGACGACCAGTGGTATGAACCCGTCGTTCATCGGCCCAGCACCTCACGCCAACTCCTTTCACTTGCTTGCTGTGATCTCAGGTCCTTGCATGGTGCCGTCTACATGAGGTACACAATGCATCACCTGTTTTCCAACACACACACACACACATCTTCACGTGCTCGGAGGCAAATGCACGCGGCATTGAACACCCCCCCCCCCACACACACACTGTGGTCTCACGTACGTGCACTCGCCTCCACCACCACCACCACCACCACCACTGTACAGAGCGACGAGCCCGTGAATGCAACCAGTCGTGACGACATGCCGACCATCGAGGCAGACTATCTCAAGGCGCTCGCCCCTCTCCAAGATGGTGACAAGGCGTTGTTCGACAAGCTCTCCGCACCGTTTCTTCTCGAGCTCATGACGGTACGCATTTCGTAACGCGGGGTGTCCGCAGCCGTCGCCCAGCAGATCTTCCAAACGTGAACACTCGAACACACACACACACACACACACACACTTCAAGCACACACACACACACGCACACACACACACACACACTTCAAGCACATACACACACACACACTTCAAGCACATACACACACACCTGAAGCACACCCTCATTCACTTGCGCTCACAAGCACCACCCCTTCCACCATGCCTGCTGTCTTGCTCCCCCTCCCTCTTGTCTCTCCTTTGCACGCGTCTTCTCCAACCACGTGTGCAGACGGCATCCTTCCTGGATATGGACGCCATGTTCCAGACCGTGACCAAAGTGCTGTCCAGACGCGTTGCGGGCAAGCGGCCGCGTCAGGTGCCCGGTGCGCTTGGAATAGCGGATAGCTTCACCATGGAAGACAAGATTGCGTGCGTGCGCCGCTTTCCTTTCCTCTTGGACGGGTGTGAGGACATCCCAGGTGCGCGCGCGCGCGTGTGTACATGTGTGTGTGTGTGTACATGTGTGTGTGTGCGTACGTGCGTACGTACGTGCGTGTGTGTGTGCGTGCGTGCGTGTGTGTATGTGTGCGTGATGTTTGGCTCTATTCTGCTGGCGGCATTAACCGCGAGTGCGTGTGCATGTGGATTTACTGGAGTGCGTCGCCGCCACTGACCCCCGGTTCGTACCACGCCCATCATCTCACACCACCACCGTCACCAACACACAATGTGGTTTTTGTTTTGTTTGCCGTGGCTGTTGTGTCCGAGCAGAGCTGTGTCAGATCAAGGCCATGCTGGAGCAAGAGGCAATGCAAGCACCGTGAGAACGCAACAGATGCAAAACTGTATGCAAGAAATCACAACGCTGACAATAGCGGCGTCGATGTGGTTCCCCCGTCACGATTCACACAGACACACACAGACACACACACGCACACACACACGCAGACACGCACAGACACACACACGCGCACACACGCACACACACACACGCACACACACACACACACACACACACGCAGACACACACACACACACACGCAGACACGCACACATACACGTACACGCAAGCACAGGTCCTATTTCACCCTCCCTTCTCCTCTTCTTTGTCTGTACATATGGGCAGCCTGCCTCACTACCTGAAGTGTCATAATTGCCAGTCCTTCCTCTCCGCGTTTGCGTTTCAGAGCTCATCGTGGCCTTCGTTGCCGCCTGATGATGTGTTTTGCGCAATAGAAATCGAACGAGTGAGTGGTGCGCGTGTGATATGCAAGTAGAGAGTGGAACAGCTCATCAGCAACACTTGCACACGGCTCAGCAAATTGCACGACGAAAAACATGTTTGCACACACACACACACACACACACACACACACACACACACACACACACACACACACACAGAGCACACACACACACACACACACACACACACACACACACACACAAATTATGTGCGCACCCTCTGTGTATCTGCGGCGGGCGTTGAACATGTGGCGGAGGTGTTCGGCGAGGCGATGGTGGCCGTGCTGGCGTGCAATGTCCTCGCCTGTTGCCCCATTGTCAAGATGCGACATCAGGTCCTGGCCATTCTGGATCATTAGCGTGAACAGCTGCTCGTTGCCTGCAGGCAACATGTCAAGCGAGCAGAAGGCACTCGTGTAAGTGGGAGAGTTCGGGCAAGTGCCCGCATGTTTTCCGTCATTGTTGCTCCACATGGTCATCAGTCGCACGCGCAACACAGTCGAGGACAGTCACGCCACACGGCGCACACGTGCACACCTGTGGCTGCCGCGACCAGGATCGGCGACCAGCCGTGGACTGTTGGTGCAACAGAGGCCCCGCTGTCAAGCAGCTGTTGCATAATTTCTCGCTGGCAACCACAACACACGCAAGCACGTGCATGAGTGCGCGGCAGAAGGAACACGAGCTTGTGAAAGAGCACTTTAAAAGAACCAAACACACACGCACACGAAAAAAGGGCGGTCCATGTGCACGATGAGATACCTTGTTGCCAACAATCGCCCACATGATAGCGGTCCATCCCCCTTTGTCGCGCGCGTCCTTGTCGGCGCCGTTACGCTGAAATGAATCATGGCAGCACAATGTGAGTCATTCACATCGACACATATGCAAAGGCACACACACACACACACACACACACACACACACACACACACACACACACACACACTGACTGACCAGGAGGTACTCGACAATGCCGTGGTGTCCTTCGTAGGCTGCGGCCATGAGCGGGGTCCAGCCAGCATGTGTTGTGACCTGCAGGGTGGCACCAGCTTGCACCAGTTGCATCAGGCAGCCCAAGTGGCCTGTCTGCGCAGCCCACATCACAGCTGTCTGGCCGTGTTCATCGCGCGTCTCCAACGCCTTCCACGACTTGCGATCTGTGTTGCACGCACACGCGCACGCAAATGATGGGAAGAATTAAATGGAAGAAAGGAAACGAGGGAAGGAGGACAAGGAAGTCACGTGTTATGTTTTGTGTCAACGCATAGGAGAGTGGCGAAAGAGCAACGCAGGAAGCAGCGCCCACATACGCAACAGTGCCTGCAGGCAAAACAAGTTGCAGCACATTGCTGTTCTGGCAACGCACTTGACTTGAGGAGGTGCTGGAGCATGTCCTCCTGGCCCATGGCGGCTGCCCACATGAGCGGCGTGCCCGTCCACTCACGCTCCTCTGCAGGCAACGCCCCGGTATTCACAATTTGCACAACAGAGCATGTGAGAGTTTGTTGTCCAAGGGTGCACGTCTCAACCTTGGCGTGAACCTGAACGGCACGAGTGAAACGCACACGTTGACCGGGGACGCATGTGCACGTGGTATTCCCTGCTGCTACAGATGCAAACAATTCGCACTCTCCAACTCATGACTGAAACAGAAAGGCCAAGCAAATGAAAGAAAGCAAGAAAACACACCCACACGCACACACCCACACCCACACCCACACCCACACCCCCACACACACACACACAATCACTTGTACCAAAGTCCATGTCAAGGCGATGAAGATACTTGGCTACCTGCAACGGTTGAGGCAGGAAGGCAAAGGGCGGTGTAAGGCGCATTGGCATGTTGATGAGCACGTGTGCATGTGCGTGCAGAGCAGATGTGTGCATGTACAACAAATACCTCGATTTGACCATTGGTTGTGGCGAATGTGAGTGCAGTCCACTTGTTTGCTGGTGTCTCCGCTTCAATATCAGCGCCAACAGCCGTGAGCACCTAGCAACAGAGCGATACAATGCAACGGGAAATTAACGCATGGAAAGGCCAAGCTTATGCATTCTCAATATTGCAGGAGCGCACGCTTGCGTGCGTGTGTCTGCATGTATACGTGTGTGCGCATGTAACCGTGTGTGTGTGTGTGTGTGCATATTTCCAACACACCTTGACCATGGCCACATCGCCTCGGCGAGCGGCGTGCATGAGCGGTGTGCTTCCATCAGAGCATGCGCCATCAGCATGTGCGCCACGCGCAGCCAGATACTGCACCGCGTCCGCGTTTCCATTGATGGCTGCCAAGGCGCGTGCGTGCGTGCGTGATTGAGTGATTGAGTGTGATGGATTGCGGTCCAAGCTGTCAAGCAGAACGCGTAACATTGGCAAGGACACACACACACACACACACACACACACACACACACACACACACACACACACACACACACACGCACACACACACACACACACACACACACACACACACCAGCAGAGACGATGGCGGGACAGCCGGCGTCCAGTGGCCGGTTCACATCAAACCCCGCCAGAACACATCTGTCACCGCACAGGCCACGCGAGAACATTCATGTTGTGTACACCTGTCTGTGAATCGGGTCGAAAGGCACTCATCAATCAAGCGATAGATGCAGAGTCAGTCACGAAGGCACACGGGTTTCCCAGATGCCCTCGCTTACTCTTCTGCTTTGTTCATATTGCCGGAGCGAACAGCCACGCTCCATTCTTCTGGTGAACACGGTGCGAGGTGTTCTGGAATGCGCATATCCGCCGCCCCAAATCGGATCAGTGCCTGCAGGCAATCGCACGCATGCATGCAGGAGGGACATGCTCTCCGTGTCAAGATGCGTTCTCAACAAGCCACAAGCAAGCAAGCAAACACACTGTCCTTGCAGGCAAGCCAAGCCCCCCCCCCTTCACGACACTCGAGTGTTTGATCGGCAGAGGGGTAGCAAGACCGCAGGGCTGAACGTACCGCAGCAATGGCGTCGTGGCTGTTCAAGCGAGCATATGCGACTGCGTTGTAGTTGTTGTTACACCTTGCATCCACTGGGCTACCTGCGTGGGGCGTGTGCGTGCATGTGTGCGTGTGTGTGAGAGTGTGGTTGGAGTGACAGACAAAGTGCACATGCGACAGTGAGGCTGTGTGTGTGTGTATTGTGTGTGTGCGTGTGTGTGTATGTGTGTGTGTATGTGTGTGTGTGTGTGTGGTGAAGGCGCTGCGCAGAGCTCAGACCAGAATGCGTGCATGCACGTTGGTAAATGAAAGACACACGCGCGCACGGTGTGCGTGGTGCTCTTGCTGCATCTGCAGTACCTCGCCGATAGAGGGTGAGCGCGGCGTGCTCGTGGCCATTGAACGCTGCGGCAATCAATGGGCTGCATCCCACGGCATCTTGCTGGTCCACCAGACTAGAATCATCTGCATGCATGCGTCGTGCGTGTGTGAGTGTGGTAACCACGAGATGGCGGCAGGCGTGATGTGACTATGTGATGCCCAGCTCGCTGTCTGGCATCGACTGTTGCCTGGCCGCTGTCATGTCATGTCGCACAACAACAGCACACACACTCACACACTCACACACACACACACACACACACACACACACACACACACACACACACACACACACACACACACACACACACACACACACACACACACACTTCGTCTGTCTGTCTGTCTCTCTCTCTCTGTGCGCCATCCCCGCCAGCCCCCCGCCCCCCTCAGCTCTTTGCCTACGCACAGTTGATGCAGGTGTCCAAGGAATTGGTGTCCCCGTGAGCAGCGTAAGCGAAGAAGCGGCGTGGCGTACACAGCTCAGCAACAGACGTTGCCGTGCACTGCCATGGAGCGCTGATAGCTGCCACCACAACTGCCAACACCACAGCAACACGGTTGTTTTGCATCCTCATCTTTGCCGTTATTCGTTTGTTGTTTGCTGTTGTTTGTTGTTGTTGTTGATGATGATGTTGTTGTTGTTGTTGATCCCTGTTCGTTGTCATCACATCTGGCACATCACCACATCATCACTCGCTCGCTTTCTGTGTTTTCAATGACACACGGAACAGCAATGTACGCAAGACGAGGCACGCAAGTCGATGGTGATGTGGTGTCACAATTGCAGGATGGAAATGGCGGGGACGGCGAGCGTCAACGAACAGAGTGTATGGCAGCAGCACGCAGTGGCTTCATTGACATGACGAGGGGAATGGACAACGAAATCGGACTGGGGAGGAGGGATGAGCAAGGGAGCAGCAGGAGGTGGGGGGGGGGGGCGAGGTTTCGGTAGGAAACAAAACAAAGCACACAGAAAACCCAAAGCAAAGGATGACAAGGTCGGAAGGTGGTCGAGGCATTGTTGTCTGGTGAACGGGCCGTGTGCTACACTCAGCGACAAGTTGTGCCCATCCACAGATCCACATGGAAGTGACAAAGCGAGAAATTGGACAACAGGCAGGCGTAGCCGCTGGTTAGGCAATGATGTTGCTGGAGGAGGTTGAGGTCGTGGTCGTCGTTGTGGTCGTCGGCGTCGTAAACGTGGTTGTGGTCGTCGGTGCCATGGTTGTGGACGTGTACACGACGTCGCAGTCGTTGCTGGTCGTGGAGAAAGCACAGTTCGTGCTGCGTTTGCCGAACAAAGAGGAAAGAATGCAAGGTAGATGCGCATGTGTGCATATGGCGTGAGAACAACCCAAGAATACACACACACACACACACACACACACACAAAATGGAGTGGTGCTGCATTGCATGCCCAAACGCAATTGACCTTACATTGCACCCCAACCCCCCCCCACACGCACACGTGTGCATTTCATTACATTCCACGCACGTTCAGCACTCACATGCAGAAGAAGTAGGAGCGGGCTTCGGCGCGGGTGGAGTTTGCGTTGGGCGTGAGGTCGTCGCAGTCGGCGAGGCAGATGCCAAAGTCAATCAGGGCAGTGAAGTTGTGGCGCCCCTGATCGGCAACGCAGCTGGAGAAATCGTCCACAGATGGGCTGAACACGTCCTGTTGTGGAAACGTACGTACGTACACGTGCGTACACACACACATACACACACACAGACACACACACACACACACACAGACAGACAGACAGACACAGATGCACGAAGCAGAAACACCAAAGTAAGCAAGCAAAGGGGCAAGCCAGAACCCACGAGGACACGTAGCGTTAGCGTGAGCATGTGTGAAACCGAGTGGACAAGCAAGTGTCCCAATTACACGTTTGCTAAGGTCGAGTCAGCACGGGAGCAATAACACGCACGATCCACTCACGTCGCCAACGCAAGCGAAGGTCTCCTCGTTGCAGTCATAATCGCAGTCAGGAAGTGTAGTGGTAGTTGTGGTGGTGGTAGTCGTGGTAGTCGTGGTCGTAGTAGTGGTGGTGGTCGTTGTGGTCGTGGTAGTAGTTGTGGTAGTGGTTGTCGTGGTAGTGGTTGTCGTGGTGGTGGTAGTCGTTGTGGTCGTAGTCGTTGTGGTCGTCGTTGTGGGTTCATACACGCTCGCGGAAATGACGGTGCAGAAGTTGAACCGGAAGTTGGCTGTCTGTGCGCACACATCAATCGTGTCAACATGAGCCGGGTTCAACGTGTTGGTGCGGAAGCGGTTGTATGCAACAATGTCGAGGGTTTCGGAGGTATCGCCGTTGTAGCGGCAAACCTGCAAATGAAGAAATTGGCACGACGGTGACGCCAAGCCAGCAGAGGTGAGTACGAAGAGCGCAAGTCATACAGACGAAAGGTACAACATCTGCCGGCACACATGCAGCAAACAAAGGGCGTCCGCACACACACACACACACACACACACATGCAGCTGCCTCATCGGCATATGATGTGCAGTAAAGGGCCCATAAGTCTCGAGACAAAAAGGGGTTGCGGAAGAGACGTACCCGGCCAATACCACAGTCCTCCTCGAGCGCTTGCTTCCAGCGGAAACCAAAGAAATCGACCTCTGCCTCGTCCTTGTCCGTCAAGTTCTGGCGGTTGCAGTCAACCTCAACCTGGAAGGGACGATGGGAATGATGTGGTGTTGCGAGTGAGCGAAGAAATCACGCCATCACGTTGTAATCAGCCAGGACACACACACACACACACACACACACTCTCTCTCTCTCTCTCACACACACACACACACACACACACACACAGACACACACCTCCATGATTGTCTCGAAGACAGTCTGCGTGCAGTTGGTGACGGCGAGACAGTTGCTGTCAGGTTCGCCGCTGGTGGTGTTGCAAGGATAGACCTTGAAGCAGTCTACAGGACGTACGGCAAAGACGACGAGAAGCAAAATGAACGTGCGGTATTGTGTGCGTGCATGCAACTCCGACAGAGCGCTGAGGGAGCCACTCCCAGCCCTACGAACAAACACACACACACACACACATACATGCATGTATGCGACGTACCGCCGTTGTCGCAGAGGTCAAACTTCTTGCACATGCATGTGCCGCCTGGTGTGGTGTTGTGGCCAGTGCAGTTTGTCAATGAGTTGAATGAAAAGGCATCGGGCACAGCAGCACACTGCTGACGATGCTGACATGATACCTAGCATGCATTCAAGTGATACACAACAGCACCGCCTTTCTTCTCTTCGCAGCTGCGCTCACCAATGTCGCAGCGAGAACGGGACAGGCCAGTCTCAAACCCCTTCTCAAAGTAGTAGCCCTCAGATGCAGCTGTCAGGGTTGCGCATGTGTCCACAGTCTTCACCGTGTGCGTGCGTGTGCGTGTGCGTGTGCGTGTGTGGTTGGTGGTGAGGATGGATGAAGTGGGAGACAACAGATAGCATGTATCTCCTCCGCTCCCACACAGACTTCCACTGTGGTTGGTTGACGGGGTTCACGACCAAGCACTCACCAGGCCGAGGCTGTCGATGAAAGTCTGGGCATCAATCTCTGCACCAGTGTTGATCCCTGCTGGGGCGGTGTTCTAAGCACATGGTGCAGCGTGCGAGAGAGACAGAGCGAGAGAGAGAGAGAGAGAGCACACGTGTGAGAGAGAGAGGAGAGGGGAGGCACATTAGAGAGCGCATGTGAGAGAGCAGGTGTGTGTGTGAGAGAGAGAGAGTGTGTGTGTATGTGGTGGGCAAACAGCGAGAGACCAAAGGGTTGTTCATCATGGAGCGACAGCGTTGCGCATACAAGCATACAAGGCCAGCGTGATCACGGTGACGGTGGCTTGGATGTACAACATGGAAACTCACTGCAAGGGCGACAGAAGCCACGCCGCAGAGCAGCGCAGCCAAGAACAAGGCACGAGACATCATCGTTGATGATCAGCTAGTCGCAGGCAGGTAAGGGCAGAGGAAGTCTTCGCTGACGGGCTTGGCTGGTTGGTTGGTTGGTTGGGAAGTCAGGCAGCAGCAGGAGAATGAGGGCGGCAAGAAGGGCAGATGGCTGCTGTGGGTGAGGGGTGAGGCTGGGTTGATTTGGCTGACTGATGTTGGGAGCAAACGCAGCCACCAAAACGATGAAGCAAGAAAGCAAGAAGCAAGAAGCAAGCAAGAAAGCAAACTCCGCCAAGCGCCAAGCAGGCATGTGACCTTAACCTCGCACTGATCCGTTGCTGTGGTCGAGCCAAAACTTGCGTCGTGCAACGGTTTGTTGGCCGCAAAGCACACAAGCAGGGCGAGGCTGACGAAATGCGACACAACCCAGAAGAAAGCAAGCAAAAAGCAAGCAAGCAAGGAGCAGCAACAATGGGGATCAGTGAATGATTCGCCACTATTCGCCACGCAAGTTCGAACGTTGGCTGGCGATTTTTGCTTGCATGCATGCAGGCAAAACCAAACACAAAAAAATTGCGAGGCGGGAGAAAAGGTTTAGAATGTGGGGAAATGGCTTTTGCCAACACTGCCATCAACTTTACCACACCAGTCTTGTGTGTGTGTGTGTGTGTGTGTGTGTGTGTGTGTGTGTGTGTGTGTGTGTGTGTGTGTGTGTGTGTGTGTGTGTGTGTGTGTGTGTGTGTGTGTGTGTGTGTGTGTGTGTGTGTGTGTGTGCGTCTGTACCCAGCTATCCCCTATGAAACTCGGTACCTCTAGACAAATCACGGCTGCAAAGCCTCCACACGCATCCACCCAGCGGTCGGGTAACAACGGGGACAGAGAATGAGCAGGAAGAGAGAATTCGACGATGGGAGGACCAAAGTAAATGAGCGGAGCCAGGAAGAGACAAGCCACAAGAACAAGCAGAGCGATGAGAAAG